TATGATACAGATATATATATATATATATATATATATATATATATATATATATATGAGTGTTTCTTTTCGACTTAACACAGAAAGTCATAGAAATGAGACTTTCCACATTAAGTCCTAACCTTTTTACAGATTTGCCCTAATTTATTTTTTCTTTATATTTCCCTGAGTGCTCTCAAATATTTTTTTAAACATCATTTTAATTGGGAGTCGTTTGTATTTGTACCTGAGCTGTAGTTATTGGAACCGCACCAGGATGGTCACTCAAAAACTGTTTATCATCTCGAAGATCTACAAAAGATAAAATATTTAGTCAGTGTTGGAGGGTATTTTGGTCATTTGAGGTCTTGACTTGTCTAATTGACTAACGACTTGTAGTTTCTCTCTCTTTTACAAAAGGTGCAAAAATTCGATTTTTAGGATGTGTAAATTGAAAAGCATCCCATTTTGGCAACCATTCTTCATCACAAAAACAAAAATGTTGGAGGGTATTTTGGTCATTTGATTGATAGTTCAATACAAACTCGTAGAAAGAAAATGACACTAGTTGCAATAATTCATTTTGTAGTAAAGGTTGAAAGAATCTAACCAAGCTTTGTTCCAACAAGAATGATTGGAACACCTGGCGCATAGTGCCTCAATTCAGGAATCCACTGAAAATTTCAACAAATATACAACAAAACCCATTAAAATTATTACCTGAACAATTTATATTTTTCAAAATTAATTTGAGGAATACACACAACTTAGTAAACAAATACTTCAAATAAGTTGGATGTTAATGTTAGAAACTTAGAATAGTAATAAGTTAATTAAGAGAATATTTTATTAACGAAATGATACACCAAATATACTCTTGATAATAAAAGGGATAAAGTTGCTTTGTATTTAAAAAATATTGCTATAAGTTGATAATAGATTCTTCAAAGTAAAATACAAAAATAGGAAGAAAAAAAAAAGAGATGTTGTAATAAACGGAATCTATGGAAGTATATTACTAATTATTCTTGCATTTAAAACTTAAAAAGCAAATCAAGAGTAAATTACAAAAATGGTTCCCGTGCTTTCTCATATTACTGTGTTTAGTCCAAACTTGTAACTTTTTTCCAACTTTGGTCCTTATTTCAAGGTTTCATATCGATTTTGGTCCCTGGAACCTTGAAATAAGAACCAAAATCGATATAAAACCTTAAAATAAGGTCCAATATCGACACAAGACCTTAGACTGAAGACCAAAACTGAAAAAGGTTACAGCTTTGGACTAAACACGGTAAAAATCAAAAAGAACAGGGACCATTTCTGTAATTTACTTACTCCAATATAATCATTACAAACAGAATCACCTTTTTGGAGACATTCTCATAGCTGGCCTTGCTAATGAGGGAAAAAGCAAGTATGAAGACATCAGCACCTCGATAACTCAAAGGTCTCAATCTGTTGTAATCTTCTTGACCTTTTTTTTGTAAAAAAAAAAATAATAAAAAATAACATAACTTTTTTTAGCAGAAAAAGATTATTAAAAAAAGACATATACACCAACTTATAATCAATTAAGGAATCAACCTGCGGTATCCCACAATCCAAGATTTACAGTGCTCCCATCTACCACAACATTTGCACTAAAATTGTCAAAAACTGTAGGCACGTAATCCTGTTTTCATAAATAAATGAAGAAAGTCAACATCCAGTCAAAATCATACATGAAGAATCGTTGTAATTTGTGGAAAAAACACATCTTCTACAACTTTTGATTATATGCAAGAAACACATCTTTCATTTATAATACAGAAATCGATGAAAATGTGTTGCTATTTCTTGCATTTGGCCCCTTTTTCACATTAATTAACTATATATGATTCTTAAATACAAAGGAGTGTTCTATTACTTTATCCCTTAATGTTGTTACTTATCGTTTTCGGAGTGAAAAGAAAATAATTTTTTGATTCTTGATTTTGTTTGATGCAAGACAAGATCAAGAAAGAATCCACATGATGATGAAAGAAAGAGAAAGAGGTAAACAAGTAGAAATGAGAATGTAAAGAAAATAAGTTTTAATAAAATTCCATATGTTGCCCTTGCTTCCTTCACCACAAAGAAATTTCATTTATGATGATGGATTTGGGGGGCCACCAACCAACTATATACTTTATCTATACACATCATCCTCCACCCACTACCCAACTAATTAATAAAAGATTCTTTAAATAAGTAAATAATAAATCAATAATCTGTATGCACAGTGATTGTTGTGACTTGAAGAATCATTTAATCAGATACTCAGTTCATTAAGATTATGGGTAGTTAGGTAATTTTCTGTTTAATTCAATAATCATTTTTCTTTAAGCAACTCCTTACCCACTTCTCCAAAATATATTATTTTGACCCTAAATAGTCAAAAAAAAATATTAGACTTAGTTTTCATCAAACACCCAAAATTGATTATTAAGACTTCAAGTAGGTAAAACTAAACAGATAAAATACGTTGCAGTTTTCTGTATTTTGACCTTTTTCAAAACCGGAAAAAAAAAAAATTAAAAGCTAAAAAAGTCTATGATGTTTAATCACTATAGACAATAATTAAGTGGCTAAATCAATAAATTTTTGTAAGTACTTTATATCTTCTATATTTTTACCCTTTTATATACATATAATACGACTATAGTAGCTAGCTACTCTTCCTTTATGAATGTACTATTGAAATTCACATGTGAATATTAAAATCCTAACAATGACCATAGATGAGGCATAATATTGACTATTGAGAGCTACATGAATAATGTTTATTTGGTTTCTTGTTTCCTGTAATTCACTATTTTGTGTGTGATTGATGATACAACTAAGCAAGATTATTATGTTTCTTTTTTCCCCATTAAGTAAATGATGTTTAAAAAGTATTTGACAAAAACACGGCAAAAAAGGGAAAAAGTAAAAAGTTTAGGACTTAATTGCAAAAGCCTAGTTTTTGTGACTTTGTCTATTAAGTCATTATTTCTAAAAGGAAACACTCATATATGTATATGGCTTAATGGATTAAGTATTGTCCCTATTAGCTCATTAAGAGATAACTTTGTAGGGAGGACAGGTGGCCACTCCTACAGACAAAGGGTAATAGGTGTCTATCCCCCATACATCTTATCCCTATTTATTCCATACAACTTGTGCATTTACAGATCCAAAATGTAGTTGCATCTAACATACCACAACAATTCAATTCTCATGAAAATAAGTACAAATCCAAATTCAAAAAATATCCTACAGAATTATAGCATAAAAAGTTCAAGAATGAAAAAGGAAACTTTCTTTCACACGATAAAAACAAAAAAAACACATAATCACGTCTTCTATCAAAGAAAGACAATTTACGAAAAACTAAAAACAAGAACAGTAAGGTTTTTGCAGCGAAAAAACTTCCCTACCATTGAAATTTTCATAGAAATTAGAACAAAATCAAATGCAAATATGTCTTCCTATCGAAAAATCTCATCGTTTTGAATAGTTTCATTCGAATTGAATCAAAATTAGGTCGGAATAGAACTATTATCGTCAATTTAGGGCAAAATTAGCTTCTTCGAAATGAGAACAATTAAAATTATTAAAGAAATTAAATCGAGATGAAGTTGAATTGACTTTACAGTGGGGAAAGTGTTGCTGGTGTAAGAAATAAGCATACAGGTCTTCCCAACAGCTCCATCGCCGACTGTCACGCACTTTATAAACCGAGATGCGCTCATTCTTGACTTTTTCCGGTAACCGGAGTTTGACTTTGACCTCCGACGACCAACTTCAACAAATATTCTTGTTCTCCTCTCTTGATTAACTTCTCTTTCTTTCAGACTTCAAGCCAAAAAAGCTGCAAAATTTATCCCCAAACATCAAAACCCTAAAATATTTCCACACTGACTACAATATAAGGACCAAAATCAGCAGCACATTCATCGATTTCGGAACATTTCATACAAATAGTGTGTGATTGTGTGTGTTTTGTGTGCAGAGAGAAATGGGAAGCACCTTAGAGAGAGAGAGAGAGAGAGAGTTGCAGTAGCTTTAGACAGCCAGCTATATTTTCAATGTTCTTGAATTTCTTCATTCTTTAATAATTTAAGAATTTAAAATAAATAATATCTTATGCTCAAATTAATATATTTAATAATCATATTTAATTAACAATTAAATATGTAGGTAATCAATATGGTTATATGACAGATATTCTATGATGATTATTTATAAATAAATAAAGGACGTTTGGATATGAAGAAAATAATCAAGTTTTTGGAGTTTCACAATTCTGATTTAATGTTTAGGTTTCGTTTTTTTAATTACTTTTTTTATAAAAAAATAAAAACTCGAAAAAAGCTACTTGTAACAAAACTTACGATATCATAAAATTATATTAACTTTGTTATTTTATTATAACTGATTATATCATATTGATTTTATTCTTCAAAAAATTATGTGGGCCTATGAGAGGGTGACAATTTCATGAACATAGGTGTAAAGATGGTGATGTTTGTGTTTTTTTTCATAAGCTTTTTTATTTAATTAATTTATTTTCTGATTATATGGAAATTATAGCTTTCAATTTTGTAATTTCGTATAATTCATCATGTTCAAACTAAAAAAACATGAAACCTCATGGACGTTAAAATGGGGTTTTAGCATATGAGTATCACTTCTTTATGAGAATTTTTAACATGTGGATGTCATTTTTTATGAAGCTTCGAGTTTGAAATTTAGTTGTCTTAGGGTTTTCCAAAAACTCCGTACACAATATCAAAAAAATCTTGTCCTCTATTTAATGAACAACTTCATATTTTTATCTTTTTTCCATAATTGATTATTTTTAGACTTTTGGTTAATATTTGACTAAAAGTCAATTTTAATTAAATTCCAGGTTCTTACATTACTAGTTGTGAGACTCATATATTACATAGGTTAATTTAAAAAAAATTAAATATAAAGTCAAAATATTTGAGAACTTTAAACTTATAAAAAAAATAAGAAAAATAATGAATTATTATAATGAAAATGTTTTTTATCTTTTAACTTTAAACAAATAATTTAAATAAATAAAATAAACTAATGAACTTTAATTTAGGAAATTGGAAATTAAAAGGTAAGTTCATTAATGAAATTGATAAACATTTATTGCAATTATTACATTAAAATATTATGTGGAATTTAATAAAATATAAAAAGTCATAAAATAACATGTGAAAAAAAATTAATTCAAAATAACCATAAAATGACATTTGACAAATTGAATGAGAGTGTGACAAGTGGCAAAAAAAAATTCATTTATTAGAGAGGATATGTTACATAGATTGATTCTGGAAGGCTCAGAGCTCTCTAAAATCTTTCATCTCTATAGAGAATCAAAAAAGTTCTTTTTGTTCAACTACTGAACAATTAACATTCAGTCATTGTACCTTTAAATTAATTCTAATTAATTTTAATTAGTTTCTAATTAATTTATTAACCTATAATAAGTCATTTAACTAATTATATCACTTTCTTAATTCCTTTCTCGCTATTATAGTTTTTGAGGGCAACCCAAAAAAGGCTTTGTTATTATTCCTAAAGTTATACCAACTAGTTAATAGTTATGACATTTGACACTTGTTTCCAACATTACCACCATTGTAAGAAGGTTGGTGTCTACGGGAAGAAGATGAATGAGATTGTTGTGAAATAAATGTCGTTGGAGGTGTATAAGAACCGTGCAAAGATAATAAGAATAGCTCATGGCTTTCTGCTTATGATAGTAAATCACAAAAAGTAGGAGATGGTTCTATTATCTGAATGGCGGTGGAAAACGTTTCAAAAGAGACTCCTAACCCATAAAGAAACCAACGGAGCTTGTCTATTTAGCAAGTTTATTGCATACGCTTTTAAGTTGGAGAAGAGAATCCCTAAGAGAATGGATTCGTTCAATAGATGAATTATTATAGGTTGTTTCAAGAGAGATCCAAATTTGACGAACTATGGTGAAACCAAGGACTTCAGCAGCCGCCTCTTAAGTAAGGGAGGAGTTGAGAAGGATTACGACTTTCTGATCAAGATCATGCCAAGTAGTGAAGGTAGGATTCGACTCATCCTTGTTTTCAACTGTAATGGTGGTTGGAGGTGCAATTGCAGAACCATTAATGTGATATGTTAGCTTATGGTAGGATAAGAGATGTAGCATTTAATTGCACCAGAGAAGATAACTAGTGGAGTAAAGCTTAATAGGGATCATGTGAAGCACCGTCTCCATGGAGAAGGTACCATCTTGTGATGTCGACATTGAGAATGTACCAGGAAAAGAATGGCGATAAGATTAGGGTTAGGGAAAAAACGAGAGGAAAGAAAAGGGATGGTTAGGCTTATACCATATAGAAATTAAACCACACCCCATTATCTTGTGTTTGATGTGTTTATATAATAAATAATAATAACATATTTACAAAGATAACTCATATAGATCAATTAACTAAAATGTAATAATCTAGTACAAACTATCCATACAATAGATATTTTATGTAATTTTGTGTATATTAAGTTTAGATATCTTATGGATGTTCCTTATGGTTCATTAAGGTCAGGTATGATATTTTAAGAGGTTAATGAGTGACCTTAAGTTTATGTGATCCTAAATAGATTAACTAAGGTTAAATAGGTATGATATTTTACGTAATTATATATTTTAGGTGTTCAAGAATCCTTCTAACACTTTGAGAAGCTTGTTGGATGTTAGTCTACACATTCCTGAGGTAAGTTCATGACATATGAACTCATGTCTCATATTATAACATTGTACTTTAAAAAATTTCAATGTTTTACTCTATTATGTGCATAAATTACTCGAAATACTATATGTACTGATATGTGTTAGTTTGATGTATTATCTTAATATATGTCTCGAGTAAGGGAAGTTAGGGACACTTGAAGTCAAGGATGCAAGGTTTTGGCTCGAGAATTTTGGAGACATTTTTAATTTATTAATGTATTGACATTTAAATTATGTATGCTTTATTTATGTTATGTTGATGTGTAACGCCCACGGATTCAGGCTAGACATTTAAGATGTAATAGATAATCTTAGCTAAAGATGTAGTAGTCATAATGACTATCTCGTGGATTTAAGGAGTGCTTAAATCTGACTTCGTATGAAGAATTTATGCTTCTTCGAAGTTTCGGGATTAAACCGACACGGCTATGCGTGGCATAAAAAGTGAATCAGTGATATGTTGCTTATTATCCTAAGTAATCTAAACGAAAGTCATAGTAATCGTAAAAAGAAAACTCGTGTATATAGAGAGCATCCAAATCGGACTTCATATGAAGAAGTTATGATTTTTTAAAGTTTCAGCGCAGTTGTGTTAGCACGAAAATCAAAATTCAAACGGTTGATTGTTTTCCAAAACAATCTAAACGAGAGTTGAAGATCTCGTGAATATGATTTCGTCGATATAAAGACAGTCGAGAATGGAATTCATATGAAGGAGATATGATTTTTATATGAACTTTAATCGTCTAAGCCTGTTAAAAATATAACTTTAAAAATAAATTAAGAATTAGCCGACGGAGTCTAAATAAAAGTTTTAGTACTCGTCAATAGCTACACATGGATATAATAAATGTAGAAAACAGAGGTCGTATGAGAAATATACGATTTTCTAAATTTTTCAAGAAATGACACGCGCAGGAAGGTTGTGCGACGTGCGCTTCTAGAATGTGGGGGGCGTGGTCCACAAATTGTTCTTCACATGTCACAAGAGAAGAGGAAGGGCGTGTTGGGAGGGTGTGATGCGCACCTCTAAAGGCGCGGCAAGCCTAGTCAAAATATGCCCTATAAATAGATGCAACCCTCCTCATTCTTCCTCACACCCTCTAGAGCTATTATAAGGCCCGCATATGCGGGCTAGGCGGTTAAAATATAATAGATCATATTAGCTAAAGATTTAATAGTCGTAATGACTATCACATGGATATAAGGAGCGCTTAAATCCGACTTCGTATGAAGAAGTTATGTTTCATCGAAGTTTCACGATTAAACCGATACAGCTATGCGCGTTCTAAAAACTGAATCGGAGATAGGTTGCTTATTAACCAAAGTAATCTAAACAAAAGTCATAGAAATTGTAAAGAGAACTCATGCATATAGAGAGCGTCCTAATCTGACATCATATGAGGAAGTTATGATTTTCAAAGTTTCAGTACAGCAATATGCAAAACAGAAACCAAATTTTAAATCTATCGATTATTACACAAAACAATCTAAACGAGAATCGAAAATCTCATGAATAGGAGTTTGTCGATATAAAGACATGTAACATCCCGATTTCCGAGAATGATATTTTAAGGATTTCATGCAATTAAAGAAGCCTACTCAACGAGTTGGAGGCCCCAACTCATCGTGTAGAGTTTAGTCAGCCCGTGTGAATTATGAGGTCTACTCGACGAGTCGGAGGACCCCAACTCGACGAGTAGGTGTTGGGCAATGAAACCCTAATTTCCAGGGTTTTTGCACCCTATTTAAAGGGTTATTTGCCTCCATCTGCCTCCCTTACCGTCCCCCTTGAGCTCAGAAACCCTAATTGCATCTACTCTCCATTTGTGTGTGTGTTAAGAAGCTTTGAAGGTGAAATTAGGAAGAGGGTTTGAAGTCTAAGGAGCTTGGAGCAAAGAGAAGCTTGTGGATCTGGTTTCTAATTCATCCTAGCATCATCTGGAAGGTAACAAGTCGTTACCTTGACTTATCTTTAGCTAGATCCATTCATGCATGGGTTTAGGGTCATTCTTAGCATATTTGTGAATCATTTCGGGTATTGGTCATGATCTAAAGTTGTAACTTCAGATCTGGACTCCTTTGAGTCCCTATAGTCATAAAATTATCAAATTTAGCAAGCTTGGGCCCTTCTATTTAGGTTAAACCTTTCCCTTAACATGGTTTGGCATCTAGGACCATGTATGTATGTAAAGTTTGCAACTTTACGTGGAAACCATGCTCTAGGAGGTTAGATCTGCATTTTGGAGCTTCGGGGTAACTTAAAAACGTCTAAATGAGAAATGGGTTGAAGGGACTCGACGAGTTGCATGGTCAACTCGACGAGTCGGATGAAGATTGGTCGTTGTGGGTTTATGCATGGACTCGGCGAGTCAGTGAGACGACTCGACGAGTTAGTTAAGGTTTTCCCGACATTTTGGACACGCATGGACTCGA